AGAAGGAGTGATGGGGAAAGAAAGATGGAGGGAGGGGGGCAAATTATTTTCTCCTACCTTTCAGAAAAGATGACATGATTGCTTTCGCTTGATCATGCATCATCGCGCCTTTCTATTCGCCCAGATAAATAGACTAGTTTGTCTGTACCTTTCTTCCTCACATGTCCCCCGCACTGTCCCCCGCCAACGCCAGGATTATCTGGTAATGGTGGCTGCTGCTGCTAAAGTCAACCACACCATCAGGCTGCATGTGTCATTACGGCGTGTCACGTGCGCTAAAGTGAATGAGTTAGACTGGGCTTTTTAAGTGTTTAACCGCGCTAATCATCTGTATGCGGTCATGTATACAACCTTTGTTCCCTTCGCTAAGTTGGTGTTTTTCCAGCAGACGCTAATGTAGGATGCAGGAAGAATAAAATGCACAGGATTCAGGGAGACGACAGATAGCGCGCTTAACAAACCGTATGGACTGTAATTGGTTTGTGAAAGTGCAGGAGTGATGGTGAATGAGTCAAATTTCCTGCCATTTCGATTCTATAAAAAGATACTCCGGATATAGCCACGTTTTATAGTTTGCAACTTTGCATTAGATTTGATAAGGTGTAGCAACCTCGCTAGTAATCGCCACTTTCTAACCAAATGTCAAATTGAGGTGTGAAGATTATCTAAATATGTGTCAATGTATAATTTGGTTCTCGGGTTTTCTATAGAGATGATAAAAATGGAAAACTACTTCTGTTTGCGTGACTTCAGTGTTTTCCTGAGAGAGACTTGACATTCCTGAACGGTGCTTTCGTTTACCGTATTTAATTATTTTAAGATATTACATTTACATTTCATAACACATTTCTTTGTGGGACTGTCAGTCACTTGTCAAACTGGGAAGGCGGTACTTCCTGTGCCCAGTCCTGTTCACAAGAAAAGCCTTCAGGACCTACTATGAACCATGTGGACTGCTTCATTGGGACATAAGAGAAAATTGAAGTCATGAAATAATGAGATTTTTTGTTTGTTTCTTAAAATTAGATAACTTTTGCCACTTGTAATTGTTTCATAATTATATATACAATTGTACATTTAAATTATTGAATGTACTATTTGCCATTATTTTATTTAATAGTTTGTGTATAAATATTTATTTGTGGCTCAGAGTTCTCCATAGAGATTCGATGTTGAGAATATTGTGCAATGCAAATAAGATTAGGTATTATAAGGGATCCTTTGTCACACAATGGAAACATGTCAATTGATATTTTAGTTAATTAGAGCTTTTTGATGTCTGTTTTGTTTTTAAACCTCAATCAATAGTTTTTACATTTGGCTTCACTGATTAGATTCAGGATACTCAAAGTGTTGTCAATCTTGTTCAGCTGTTGTCAACCTCTAACGCAAATCAATGTGAATATACATACGTAGGATTATAGTAAAACGCTGTATTTCTTTATAATTGAGCCAAAACAACAGGTCGATTTATAATCATTAGTAAAAATGTGTTCTATAATCGATTGGCTTATACACTTTGCACCTTCCGGATCCGGCTAAAGCGATCTGGGCCCTCCCTCAGAGATCACGAGTAGAACTGAAATACAATACATCGTTAATCCGTCTTTATCATTATTTTTATGATTCCTCTCTTTGTGTACAGTACATGTGTCGGACTCAGGTCCATAAATATGTCACAGCAACAGCCATGCACCAGGACTTATCTGAGCCTATACCAGGGAACCTTTTTCTCTGCAGTCCGCCTCATGTTATTAATTTGAAAAAGCAGAATTAAGCAAAATGTACCTGATGGTATGGCTTTTCCCCATTATCTGATGTCCATGTCCCCCCTCCACAGGGGCTGGCTTGCTCCTGGCTGACCCCCCTGACCAATCCAGTGGAACCTGGGAGTAACCTCACAGCCAGTATATAGATAGCTAGGATGGACTAGTTTGGGCTCTTGGTCGGTGTCAACTCTCTGTGCAACATGTAGCAGCCTAATACTGAGGCCCAGAGCCTCCAGGGTTCTCTCTCTCTCTCTCTCCAACCATCTCTCCTTGGGGTATGATATTTTCTGTTATGTCTGTATGTATTTTGTTATAGTTCAGTGTCATTAAATGTCCTCTTTTATATCTATTGGTTTGGCCCTAGTATGTACAGCAACGATTACATTTTCATGATAACAGTACCGAATTAGTCAAATGTATCCAGACAGCACAGAAATGCCCTGGGGTTTTCTCTCATGCAGTTTGAACAGGAGCTAATGCTAAGTTGCTAACACACAGCTACCTTCCTGCTACAGTCTATTTCTAGGTCGGGCTGGTTTAAACCAACATCACACCAAAAGTTTCCATACACTATGCTTAAACTAGGAGCATATTAATCGATCACTTTATATTACAAAAACAGTGTTGCCAGAAGCACATCGTTACAGTTCTCTTGTGTTTTCTGATGTTCTGTTTTCAGGGTAAATGACACATGCAGAGAGGAAGCCGATCCTCTTGGGAAAGTCCAAATCAAACGAGTCTAAAAGCTGTTGTTTTGTCCTCTGTATAAGCCATTTAAATCAGATCAGCTCCAGCTCTCATCTCCTCCTGCTTTTTCACCACAATGCGGCTTTTGAGTCAATACACCATTATTCCCGGTGTATCTTACAGTCTCCAGCGTGTTATTACTTGGTTTCATGATACTTTGCCTACTCTCTCTCTGTCTCTCTCGCTCTCTCTCTGTCTCTCTCGCTCTCTCTCTCTGGCGCTTCTGTATAATGTCGTAGAGATCTGGCGTGGCAGAAAAAGCTGCTCCGGTCTTCTCTGCGGCCTCATTGTGGCCCACCTGAAGGGATAACAGGGGACCAGATATCGACGGCATGCTCTTGTTGGACTTCTCGATCAATTCCCCCGATACTTTGCGTGTGTTCGCCATCGACCCTTTGTTGGTCGCCGGGCGCAGTGATAGCATTACTGAGGACACGGCGGCGGTTACAGACCAGCGCCCGGTTCTTTCTTTCAGACAAGACTGCATTGGGTGCTGGTGTTTGTTTCGCCGCTGTTAGCCACTGCTAGCGACGGCTAATAATATGGATTAGGTAAAGTGAACTAAAAGTGTGCACTGAATGTTGCCATAAGTGTTTTTCTTTCACTTTTCTTATTCTGGAAATGGTTGTGTACTTTTGGAAGCGTAGTGGTTTGATAGTAGTTTTACCAACACAAAGGTTGTGTTTTTACTATTATTGGTTTGTAGATTGTTTAGTTGACATATATATTTTTTTTCATTTCTTGCCCACAGACTAAGACTTGGCTTAAGACTAGATTTGTCCTCTTCTAGTCCTGGTTTATTTATGGTCTAGTATGCATTTTGTTCAAGTTGTAGTTCTGATATCAATCAATCGAACTTAAGTTATAATGTTCTTTTAAATCAAATAATGTAACACAAAGTACTTACAACCCTCAGACAGCACTGCATCCAAACACAAACACACATGAAAACACCCTATATCTGTTGCGTATCGTGTGCTCTATATGTGTGTCAACGCTACAACAATTAAGGACTTAACAAACGATTTATCTTTTTGGTTTTGTGATAAATAGAACTAATTAACCAAAATGAGACAAAACCTTCATATAGATGAAAGATGCTATTTTTGTTTGAAAACAATGTTGAAAAAGTCCAAATGTTTTCACTAGATAATTATTTTATCGTGATTAGAACTCGCCATAGTATTTGAAAAGAAAGTTCTTCTTATTCCATTCAGACCGGATCATGCGTTGCGGTGACTTTAAACACAAAGTCAATGGTGACGTGTGTTTTAGCATGTGAGAACTGCATGTGCGTCTTGGGACCAGTGGGGGCGGGTCCCGGCTCAAAAGTGGCCAAAATGACGTGCGCTGACATGCTTGCAATACCACCCCGGGCCGATGGGGGTGGACCCAGAATAAGAATTAGCCAATGCTAACGTGTAGCATTAGCTGACCTCTCGAAAATGTCTTTACAGGATGGTCCAAAAGTCTGCTCTTGGCCCAAAGCTCCGTTCCACATGTGTGTCAGTCTAGTTTAGTCGCTGTGATTTTTTTGAAGGCACTAGTTTAAATGAATGGGGCTCGTGCCGCCTGACGCATGCGCAGATGCAATTTTTCACATTAGCGGTCTAGCGAGCAGACTAATAATACTGGCCCCATCCTGTATATGTTTTTGAGTATTGTCCCCTCTTCTAGAACGTTTTTTGAGAAAAGGAATAGGTCATAGTTGATCTGTACTGACAAAGAAGATGTCGGACTTGACTGTTTTGGTTTCATATTGATTGGCCCAGCAAAACTAAGAAGTGTGACTTTGTAAAGTGAGCCAGGAAAGACTCTTCAGCTGCCCTCCTCCACAATTTTAAACTATAGGCCAAGGCTGTCTGACTGGTCCCAGGACAGGCCGGTGTGACTGCAGGTTTTAAATCTAACCAAGAAGGAGCACACCAGACTCCACCCATTTCCTCAAGTCTTCAGGTTCAGAGACTGGACTCGGTTGAAATCAAAACCGAGGCTCTTTGGTACGTTGTGATGTCACATGAAAGCTACCTATTGGACAATACTTAGAAAACACTTGGTTTACAGCTAAACTTGGCTCTAAATTGTATTATATTATATTTTTCAATTATAAACATTAAAAAATCAAAAGAATTGAATTGGTATGTTTTTTACACTAATTATTACTGTTTTAAATTTTCTTCAGTCACATGCGCTTTGGAGGCCCTGGTTGAAATGTTTGTCAACCTTTGGAGTTGAATGTTTTTGTCTTTCTATATTAGTTGTAAACCGCCTTAAAGGTACAGCCATGGCCCACTTTACTCTTGTCTCTAAAAGCGCTTACAAAGTCATTGCCGTGAACAATTAGGACGAGTGAAAAAGTGAGGAATAAGCTTAAACCGTTCTCGTTATAAACCTCTCATTTAAAGACCGCAAACATTGAGTGTAATAAATGGTAAGAAAATGATTTGTTTGTCTAATGACTCTCTTGTTTCTGTGCTTTTATAGGCCGCGTCACCCGCCTCACCCGGGAGAAAGAGGTGTACCGAAAGCTCAAGGAAGTCCCAGACAAGGCCCTGGCGATCAGCGGCTACTCGGAGATCAACCTGGCCAAACTTTTCCAGGCCTTCTCCTCGCTCAAATAAAACCCACAGGAGAATATACAAGCTCATCAGGAAACCGGCCACCACCACCTCGCTTTTTTTTTTTTTTTTTTTATCAGACTGCACCTGCTTTGTCCAGCAATTTTAGGGTCATTTTAGGCGTTTGACCCTGGACCCTCTCCAACCATCGACCCCGTATATAATGGCTTTGGTATAGGACGTCAAAATGAAATGACACAGACACCGCCTACTCTCGACTTGACCCCATCACTCGCCGCGGTGATGGGCAGCAGCAATCAAAGCTAAACGCTCCCGAGCCATTGTGTGCATGCGTCTACGGGTGATACGACTTGCTATCGTTACTATCAGCCCGCGCACTCCAAAAAGCCACTAATTAGGCAATGATAGTGACCCAGGCGACTAAGACCAAGCGAACGCCCGCCGCGAAAAGGGGCACTTGTTCTGATTACTCCCATTCATCCCCAGTGTGCTGTGGGAGAGCAGAAAGGAGGATGCTGGGTAAGGGACGGGGTGAGCCAGGCCACCAGCTAACGCTTTTGTAACAAATATTTGATCTTGTCTGGTTAACTATGTTTCGTACTTTGTCTTTTAACCAGTTGCTGTTTTTGTAACTCGCAAAAATGTATTGTATTTGTGTCGTTGGTGAAATTTTTGATACTTTTTTGATGACGGTATTTTAAAGCTCAATAAACTGTTGATATCACATTTGCATATTTTGGATGTACCATTATTAAACGTAAAAAGGACTTTTACAGTTTTCCTTAATTTGTTTGTTATGCGTTTAATGTATTGACACAGGGAATACTCTTTGAGCAAACAGACATTTTTCTTTCATTTTTTTAGTCCCTAATCTTCAAACTGAACAAAAACATTTTACTAACTATTATTTACTTCATGCCATACTTTCCGCCCTTAATTAAATACGAGTTTCTTCACATTTACACATCCCTCTGGTCATTCTAATCTCGATGTAAAGCCCTATATTATTATTTTGTCAATACTTTTATCTTGTGTAAAGTTAGTCTACCCCAGGGCAGCTGTGGCTATGATGAGATGTATTATTACACGCTCACAAAACATAAAATAATCAAAAGCATTATCCTTCCAGGAGTACACAAAGTCAATGTATTTTGTGAATCTAAGTCTTTTTGGCATCTTAGTTTTTCCCACTTTAAATTAAAAGGGAGTTTCTTCATGTACAGATTCCTTGGTCATTCTAATCTGGATGTAAAGCCACTAATATTGCTGCCTGCCATTATTGCGCCTGCCATTGGCCCATTGTAGCAGCTTGTCCACTTAGGGGAAATTGCATAATATTATACAGAGAGTGGAAGTCATCAGGGCCACTCTACCTTGGCAACACTACGGGGCCCTGAATGAGAATCACCCCTTTGCATCATGTACCTAAGAGTGCACATTTTACTCTTTTTATTAATACAGCGGGAGATTTTTACTCGATCCTGCCATCTGCATTTCCATAAACACTGCACGCCTCACAAATCACTTCAAATCCACTGTAACTTGTGAAAGCAACCTTAAGCGGGCTGCACACTCTCCATGAGCTGCTGCGGATGGAACACGCTGCGTGAGAGCCAGTGCCATTTACTCATTGCTTCTAACTTTACATATTTATTAAATAACATCAACAGTGCAAGGCTCCATACTCTTTGCATCAATTTGTTTGTCAAAATTAATCAGTGGGGCTCTAAATGGTATGCTGTTTGGAACTTAAGTGCTTAGTTTTGTCCTCTTGGCTTGGACCTGTCAAATGAGAATTAATTCGACTCTGCTAAGCTAATAAGGTCGTATACGAGGCTTTTATTTGGTGGTGTTAAGCTTTATTGCTCGTCGTTTTGACCAGCAATGAACAAGGTAGGCTTTGATGAGGGAATTAGTCTCCTATTCTGTCGCGCTCATTCACAGGGAGGTGTACCATACAAGCACCAGAAAAGGGTGTCAAAAGGAGAGCTGGTCCTATTGCAAAGTGTCTCCCTTGTTGGATGTGAATGGGCGGTTATGAGACGATAAACCGCTTAATACACTGAGCTAATTGGATGAGTGCAAGAGAGACGGGAGAATGAAGGGGCGAGCGGAGAGGGGAGCGCGGTGCCATGGCCTCACTATTCAGTCTGAGACTCTGCTGTTCGTCATCAAAGCCTTTTAGAGCCTCGCTCCCGCGGCCTGACTGAGCAGTGATCCAGGCGGCTGTGGAGTGATTGGGCCTATTCTCTCAGGCGACGGGACGCGCTCACAGAAACGAAGCCCCAGTGAATCCAAATCACGGGCCAAATCACGTCCCGGACACAGCTGGACCTGGAAAGGCGAAGCGGCGTTGGTGATGAAAATGGAGCATTGGGAACATTATACCTGCGTTAACCTGAGGAGGCTGCATTGTGAAAGACAAATCTGTGAAAGCCAATGCAGCAGCACATTGTGCCACAAACCTGTGGCACAAAGCTGCGCTGGTCGCTTTTAATGCGACTAAAAGTGCGTATTTGCGCATGATTGAGCAGTGCAGGTCTGTGCGCCAACATGCGCATATGCACAGGAGCCTTTCATCCACGGTCTGGCGCTGGATGAAAAGACACACACCCAACAAGTGTGACTTATGGTGCATGCAGGCACTGAATTTCAATTTTCTCGCCATTTTGCGCCTGAGAGAAAGTTTAAAGCCTCGCTCACAGCGGGCCATCCGCCTCCCAGTTTTCCCTTGATATTAGGAACAAATTGGTTTGCTATTCATTAGTTATATTCACAATAAGATTAAAAACTCCCTCGAGCAATCTAATCAAAAGCCCATACAAGTAAAGTACTTTCACTCCGCTGCTCCACAGAATAAAAACAATGTGGGCTATGGCGATGCATAACATATCTCCCTGTTCCTCGGTCCAGCAGCAGGTTATGAATGCTAACTCACATTCCTGCGCCAATTATGCCCCTTTGGTCTAAACTTTGATTAACGGGTGTACGGACAATAATGATGTGTAATACCAAGCTTAATGTGGAGGGGAAGGGTGGCGCACAAAAGCACTCACTTAGGAGAGCAGACTAAATTAATCCACGGAGTAATTTCACGCGATTTGCCCGGGCTCAAATGGGTCAAACGGAACAAGAAATTGCATTGATTTGCGGCATTGGTCCCGTGCGTCCCTCCTCTGTGGTCCCATAGAAAAAAGGAGAGATTTGGGGGAATTAAGTCGACGAGGTGCGTCTGTGAAAGGCATTTTTGATGAAGTGGTTTGTTACTTCATTAATGACAAAGGAGAGCCGCTTCCATCGACATGGTATTACAGATGTTAAGACCAATTTAGCGCCTTTAAAGGGCCTTGAAGGAAGTTTTGTGACGGGGCCCGGATAAAGTGGGCGATCTAATTGAAAAGCCCTCTCCATTGTGCGCGTTTCATGTTGGGGATTAGGCTCATGAATATATGGCCCGTATTTTGTCAACTCCACTGAAGAGGATTGACGCACGCAGAGCCACTGGATTACATTTGTCATTTAGGATCTAATACATGTCTTCTCACTGAGGTGGAATAATGCGCCACCGCGTTGGCTTTATCCTGCACAGCTGCATACAAGCACTTCCAACAATATGTTTTTTAAGCTTTAACACTCTTGCTCAAAACTAGGAACCGTATTTTTCTCCATTGATTCATCACAAAAACACAATTTCTTTATAACACCTTTTTTATTAATAGTTCTATTATAGCCTATTTCACATTTTCTCCTGGTTTAGGCCTAAAGCAATTTGAAATGATAAAATGTAAGTCATTGAAGCAGGGTCCGTTTATTCAAACCAGGAATTTTACAATCACTTAAGAAAAATCTGTCAGTCCCGCGGGTAAGTATAGACATAAATAATGAGCTAGAAACCTAATAATTCATAAACACAAGTGTAAATCTATAGACAAGGGCGTCATTCATGAAACACATTGAGTGCAAATGATCAAAACGTGGTCTAGTTAAATATACATGACCTTGTTTTGAAAATCTTCTTTTTTTCTTCTGTTTTTACACAGTATGTACATTTTCTCTCACAGTCATGTCATCAGAGACAGTTCTCCACTTGCACGCCTGTCCCTAAAGCCAGTCACAACCTCAACACCTTCAGAATGGAACCAAAAGTGTAGAGTTTTGAACCGATGCAGCGTTGAGTTTGGCTGTTTGGACAAGGGCAAGTGGAGAGGTTTGCAGAGAAGGCTACGGAAGGTCTATGGACAGTTTTTTTTTCCTTTGGTTCATGTGGGACCTCCTCCAACATGCCTTTATTATAGGAGCAGACTGGTTCATCCTACAGCAGTACCCATTTTAAGTCAGACCGTCCAGTTTTGAATCTGGTTTGGCGGCTGTATGCGTACAAAAAAAATCTCTTTTACTTCCTAGAAAAAATACAAAATAAACACAGCCATGTCAAAAATGCCTTTAAAAAAAAATGTTAAAACAAAAAAGCAAAGAAAAAGAAGGCGGTCGGACATTATGAAACATCAATAAACAATGCAATGAATGGATCAATATTTTTTTTAGTTTAGACTTCAAATTGGAGGATTCATGACATAACTAGACAGCCTTGGTGTTAAATAAGTGAGTTGATGAATGAGACAAGTGTTCTTTTCAGACATCACTTACAGCCAGTGCTCTCTCTCTCTCTCTCTCTCAGATTTGGTCGTGCTATTCTGTTGGGGGACATGAGGTAATTGGGGCAGTCAAGCTTCAGGGGACAGCAGCCTCCAGAGGTATGAATGTAAGGGCCATGTTTGGGGGTCTCTGAGTTGGACTTACGCCCGGGAGCGAGGGGTGAGGAGAGGGGGGAGGATAGGGGTTCAGCACACCTCCTTCCCAGCAGCACCGGGGGGCAGGATGTTGAGCTGGGTGAGCTGTGCCGAGTGTTCCTTCGCCTTGAGCCGGAGAGCAGCGATACTGGAGGCCCGGCGGTCGGCAGCGGCGGAGGAAGAGGAGGAGGAGGGCGAAGAGGAGGGGTCCGGTAGCACTGGACCGCTGTGGGGGGGGCTGTCGACGGGCGGGGCGGGCTGACGGAGGAGCGCGGCGGCGGTGGAAGCACTGGTCAGGGGGCCCATGCTGGAGAAGAGCCTGGAGCGAGAGGACGGGGAAGTTAGAAATGTCACTGGTTGCAAAGAAACGGGCCCAAAAGTGAAGGATTTTTGTATTTTTTAACTATAGGAATAATTTCTTTTCTACATCTGCACCTCATAAAGAATCTGTTGCTGTGCGCTCCTTCCTCCTCCTGAGAATATTCTTGCACTGACATATTAGAATGAACTATTTGGATCTAAAGGAAGTAAAGAAGAAGGAGATTTATGTATTTTTTAATTTTTGGTGAATAATTAATTCATTTCTGGGATTCAGCATAAAATGTGAATCCACTGCATTATACAGACTCTTTCCTTGACATGCCAAGTCTATTTTTGTTATAATTTAATGATTATGGCTTACAGTCCATTATCAATCTGAGAAGTATTTGTAGTTTTACTGCTGTGAGCCATAATTATCATCATTAGAGCAAATCAAGACCAGCTATATCTCACTTTGAGTCTGTTATATATTAGTTTCACATTATATGTTGAAATACAGAAGTTAACGGACTTTTGTGATATTCTAATTGTACGTGTTTCATCTGTACATGCACCTTTTATACATATCTATTAAGTCAGTCTACCCCAGGGCAGCTGTGGCTACAAAAGCTGCTTTCCACCATTGGTTATGGCAAGATTCTCCAACCAATAATAGAAGAAAGTTGATAGTATTGAGCTATAGCCACAAATTGGGTATGGATTCAGGTTCACAAAACACAAAATAGTGCAGAAAGTCAAAGTATGCATAAAAAATTGTAGCAGTTTGAAATATTCAGCAGTTTATTTGTAATTTCTAAGTCCTTGGCAGAGCTTTTTGTGAGGGCTCCTCTGCTGTGAAGTATTGTACATTAATAATGCAGTGGAAAGTAGTTTTGGTGTCATTCAATTATTATATAAATCTTGTTTTCATCTTGTTTTCCAAATACTACTACAAGCCTCTTTATCCCATTTTCCAAAAGCTGAGGCGCAGCAGGCGGTTCCTGTATCTTTGCATTATTGTTCTAATTTGTGTAAAGCAAATCGAGGTTAATAAGACGGAGGCATGTAGTACAACACAAGTGTCAAACGAGGAGCTAATTGTGGCGTGCGGTTTGCAGTGACGTGGCTCCTCGCAGCGTCCCTTTAAGATCACAGCTTTGGTTCATTTATTAGGGCATCTGACAGTGATTATACACCGCCGTGAATCATTAACAATATCGCGCACGTTTGTCGCACATGAGACCATTGCTCATTGTATAATTTATCACAGTTGTTTCTTGAGGAGCAGGTTTTTCCTTTTGTGAGTGCTTCAATAGAGATACGAGTGTAGATACAGTCGTGTTGGCTTTCGCACGCCATTGTCACGGTGGCCTATGGTATGTGGCGTTCAGAGTGAGATATGTGAGATATGGACTGATCATTTATAGTTTTTGTAAATGTAGTGACAGTCTGACACATCTTGAAACGAGTCAGGAGAAGGATAAGTAGCCCTTCAATCACTTCATTCACAGCACTTTGCCTCAACTCAAATTTGTAAAAGAGTAGATCAAGATGTTCCCAGAGAATGGTTTGGATTAATCAGACTAGACTTCGTAGTATTCTACAGTAAAAGTACATGATCAGGGTCTATAGTAAAAGTACAGGATTGGGGTATTCAAAAGTAAAAGTACATGTGTGTTCAAAATGACAATGTTTTGTCCCAAAAGTGCATTGTAAAAACCTCATTATGATTGTATAATAATTGTATATCAAGTATAACGCAGGATTACCTTCCAAAAGTAGGTCCGATGAAGGCCGGATGGCGGAACATGGCGGCGGTGCCTAAGAACGTGCCCAGGCCCAGAGGCGTGGCGAGGGGAGCCGTGCCGTTGTGAGGCGGATGGGCCAGACCGGGGAAGGCCGCGGCGGCAGCAGCAGCAGCCGTCCAGGCGGACTCCAGGGCGGGGTGAGGGTGTGGAGGGAAGGGGCCGCCCTCCAGGTAGTGGCTCAAGGGGTGACCCGGCGCCAGGGGCCCGGGGAAAGGGAGACCTGAGGGGTGAGCCTGCACACCTGCCTTCTCACGCTTCCTCCACTTTGCCCTGCGGTTCTGAAACCAAACCTGCAAGAAGTAAGACACAACTTTTAGTCATTCATCTAAACATAAAACAGTTTTGAGTTGATTTCAGCACGTTGTCAGGACCAATATTCTGAGCCAAATGTACAATACATTAATATTTATTCAAATTACAGTAATAATACAACAAGCTTAAATTAGAAATAATGATTGTTTTGAATTGCATTTTGTCTTTTTGATTTTAGGCTTCAGACTTTCAGAATGAGGTCAGTTTGGTGATCCTGAACCAGGGCTTTGCTTTAGGCATCCCCAACAGGTGCTGCTAATAGACTGGACTTCCATAAAGTTTCTATGTGACCGAGAAGTTTCTTTCCAACTCATGCACAAACGAGTGTTGTGCCAAAATAGTTGTCTAGTTCAGGTGGTGTCCAATAGGCGTAAAGTCAGCGGTAATTACACGCACAGTAAACCCCACGGCTCACTGTTCCTCACTAAATCTACTTTCTGACTAATTAAAGCCTGTCCCGCAGTCAAGCTTCAGAGTGGGGAGAGATAATTAAGAGCGGTGTTAACAAAAGATCCAGAAAATTACCACTGAACTGGCTCCAATAGCAATTAATGCGCTTTAAATTACATTCTTAAGAGATGCAAGTACAAGACAAGACTATTTAACTTTCCCACGCATCAGTGTTGGCCAGTTTGCACGGGCGCTCACAGAGAGGAAAATGTCAACATGGGCCAAAGTGAGAGAACAGGGGAGACTTGAGCGACAGGCGCAGAACACACATGTACGCATTATTCCCCGAGGGCTGTTTAGCATTACACAGCCCCTGGGGAATTTATGAGTTTTTATCACCTCCTGATGGCGCCCGTTAAGTGATTTGTTCACCTACGGCCCCTAAAGAGACATCTGTTGTTTCACCGTGTTTGAACTGTCTCTCTGGTTATGAGCCCGGCCTTTCGACATGCGAGCCACGCTTTCAATGCAAGGAGCGGAGAGAAGGGGGGGGGGGGGAGCAGGAGGAGGTGGGAGAGTGGGTGAGGGTGGGGGAGGAGGAGGAGGGGGGCAAACGGCCTTTAATGGTCTCTCATTCGCTCCCAAGTGCAAAGCATCGGATCAATGCAGGTCTATTGCAATCACATAATGGGAAATCAAATAGCATTAGCACTCCCCTCAACCCCCCACCCCCCTCCCTCCCTCCCCTCCTCCCCCCCTCCCCCGTCTCCTGTGATGGGAATTCAAACAGCACATCATCTCAGGAATATAGCCCCGTGTTTGCTCCTGCGCTAAGTGAGCTTTTTATGAATTGCCAGCGTCGCCTTAATTGCCACTAAAACGCGCGTAATAACATTCAATAACAGGAAAGACCTCCCCATTTAACACGTTTTGCCGCAATAAATTACTGCCCAAATTGGCCTCCTAATCGGTTATCGCCAATCAGTGACGCATATATCGGTGTTATTGCGCACTGGACATTTTTATTTTATTTTTTTACTTTTTTTTACAGGCGCCATCAAACTGCGAGGCGACAGAAGTGCTCGCGTTAGCCCTCGTTGGAGATAAACGTGCAGCTCAACTTACTTGGACGCGGGCCTCGGTGAGATCCAAGCGCATTGCCAGCTCTTCTCTGAAAAGCATAAAAAATGGACAAATGGGGAGAGAATAAGCAAGAGGAGCAGACAGAAAAGCTTCAAGGTTACAGGCCAGCGCTTGGAAGAAGGGCAGAATTGCTGTTTTGTCCCCACCTGTTGTTCACTGTCAACAATAGACGACCAAAATAAGCTTGATTTTTTTTTCCCCCAGCCTGGCATGAACTGCAGAAAGACGCCATAGCCATATTCTATTTTCCCTGTCACAGATGGGCAGAAATAGGCCTAGTGATTGTTAGATTTTCCTTAGCCCAGGCCTGTCACTGTAACAACATAATGGCTGAAATAATGACATCTAAACTAGCCTGCCACAAAGCAATTGACGCTCCGTTCTGCAGCAAGATGGGCTTATAGTGGAAATTAGACATACACGTCGCTAAAGTAAATCGATTGGAAGATTTGAATAATCTCAATAAAAAATGTATATTATTTCGTGACAAATGATCGCGTGAGAAAAGGGAAATAAACTGCTGAAATACCACATGTTGTTTATTATTATTGCATTGTATCGTTGCGTCTGTAGCAGCGTGCGTAATGACGGCTTTATGAGCGCGCACCTGCCCCGGGCTTCACCTATAGGCCCATGGGTTTCTCTCGCTGTCATGTCCAGCAGAAACTCGACCCCAAAACATGGAATTGTTCCTGACAATAACGGCGGCGTCCTTTGTCTCCGTGAGCAGAGGTAGCGGCGGCAGGTCACGTCAGGCCCGTGTCACGTATGCGAAGCACGGTCTCTGTTTGTGTTTTATGAGCTGAGAGCGCACGGCTCCTTTACACCCGTGTGAACTGTATTTATCACGATTAAGCACATTAATTTTAGACTTTGGAAAAATAAACACACTGTTGATATGTGCCAATTCATAATTTTTTGCTTAGTAATTAATATTAGATACAATAAACACTGCTGTAGAACATGAAAATATTATTAAATTATATTGTGGCATAAAGGTGATTTATCACAATAATAAAAATACATATTCATATTTTTCAGACTAGTGGAACATATTTTCCTGCGCTCAAATGTGTAAGCCTATGATTAATTTAAAATGGTGCAGTGGCCCATGGAGGATAGAACCCAAATTATTAAAATATTTGTTTTCTGATAATCATCGCCTCTTATAGTCTAAGTAATGCATAAAGAATTTGCCCAAAATAGATTAATAGAATAAAATAAAATGCAATATAAATGATAACAACAGTCAATAAACAATAAATAACAAATAACAAAAAACAATAATAGTTGTTGGATTTGCTCACCGTGTGAAAACGTCCGGGTAGTGCGTCTTCTGGAAAGCCCTCTCCAGCTCCTCCAGCTGATAGCTTGTGAACGTGGTCCTGTATCTTCTCTGCTTCCGCTTGAGCATCCCCTCTTCTGAGTCACTGCCCGCGGACAGACACACGCTGTCCTCTCCGTCCCTCACGTCTGCGTCTCCCGCGGTCAAACTTTCTCTCTCTTCATCTTTCGGCGACAAGACAGACGCGTCCCCGCAGCTCTCCTCCTCCTTCCCGGTGTCTTCCTCGTACTTAAGTGGGCCGAGCTCCACCAGCCCCAGGCTGCCGTCCTCGGAGCCCTCCCCGGGGCTCTGCTCTCCCTCCCCGCGAGTCAGAGATGCGTTCTCCCGGTACGACTTACTGCGGCTAATGCTCACCTGTGGCGCATGGCTGATCTTAAGGTCGTTGGCTTGTTCCAGGAGAAACCTCTCCCTCTCAAGCTTGTCTGTGTGCTCATGAAGGTACTTCCCCCCAGGACCGTAGAGCCGCCGCAGTTTGGGCGGCAGGTGCATGTCTGCGGCCAAACACAGCGGGTCTTTCATTGCTCCTACAAGACGCAAAACATACGCGTCAAATTTACACGCACACGGTACCCTCGGAAAACACAGACTGAACATGTTCATGTCATTACTGTACAACAAACTGAGTTCAGAAAGAGGCTACATGTACAAGTTCAAAGTGACACATGCAGATGAGTGACGTACCGTCAGCGCTCTTGTCCAGCTCTCCTCTCCCGGGCAAAGACAAACTTTGTGCCCCTATAAGCCTGACCTTACAGGGGCTGCGGCGCCCCAGGATACTGTCTATGCAGTACGAGGAGAGCAGCGTGGGGGACTTGCTGTTCTTCCTCTCGCTTCGCTCGTGGATGTCTTCTTCAAACTGAGCACTCATGTCTGGTCCGTGCGGTGCCGTGCAGTGGCCGTGTCCCGCTCTCCTCCCGGTGCGTTCCTCTGTGAGTTTACGGCCGCGTCAGTGCGCTCCTCCCTCTGCTCTCAGCTCCACTGTGTCCTCAGTAATGACAGACAGTGGTTTGGCTGCGCAGTGCAGAGATGAGCCAGGCGCTTCGTTTACGTGAAAGTTACTGGTGTCTGATTGGCTCGTGTGTGTATGGCACAAGACAGCAGAGAGGCTTTATATATTTTGGCGTTTAAAGTTAATTTGGGGGTAGCGGCGCAAAACCTGACATGGAGTTATTCCGGACTGGACTCATGTTGAACTTTACGCGCACAAAACACGAATATTTCCCTCAAAAAAAGTATGTTATTTTAATGAATTAATAAAAGAAGCAGGATGTTTGGTAAGATAATAGCTATAGGCCTAGGCCTATCTTAGTATTGTATTTTGTATTTACCTGCAGTTCATTTTTAATCAACTAATAAATAGGCCCACACATAGGCCATAAGTAACATTTTAACATAATGGCTTATAGCTCAACAAACTAAAACACGCAGACCACTATTGAACAATTATATGGACTAAACCCTGAAACAGAAAACAACAATATGTGTTTACAATTGGCCTAAAAAATTGTTATATAGAATATAAAATCTATTTTGTTATGTGGTTTGTGAACCTGTGAATCCTTGTGCCAAATCTGTCTCAGAGTTTGGCTTCGACCTCACGCTGCACCTGCAGATGTCAGGGGTGAAATACAACCATAAATATCAAAACAGGGAGAAAGCTTGCACTTATGTTTGCCTATAATATCCAGCATTGCTTGAATGATATTTTTCAACATTATTAGCCTGGGTTTTGTACATAATGAATGCGGACAGTTGTTGGTTGACTTGTCTTTACTCTGATTTGCTCCCTGCTCGTTGGTAGAGAAGACTTGTGGATTGACTCCAAAGTGCGGGTGGCGCGCGGGGGCCGGGATACCACAGGGGACTCCGCTCAGTGAGGGGAGAGAGATGGATCGAGAATGTAATTTTAAATGAAAGTCTATTTAACCTGCTGCGAATGGCATGACCCCTATCCTCGCCTCAGAGCCCATCACTGTTAAATGGATCATTTTCAGAATTCAATCCAAAAACTTCAGCTCGCTGCAATTTACTCTCGCTCACTCTTTTCTCCTTCTTCCTCTCAGTTATGTATCTGTCTGAAGGATAGTAGCAACCAAAAATATCACAATACAATATATAACCTTTTCTTTTATGTTGGGTGTTTATATGCATTTGTGGAGAGAAACGCAATATGAAAGTCACTTATCTTGACTCAAAGTCGTGTGCGTAATGAAGGTATATTCTGGCCTCATTATGGACATTATTGGACCTGTATAATTCATTTGCGAGTATTAATAAACAGTGCCGTTTCTGTGTCAGATTTAACCCAACTTTTCTGGTGTCACAAACTTAGGAGCTTGTTTATTTGCGCACAAATCAATGTAATGAGTGTAATAACAATATAAAATGTTATGCCTTTTTCTACGCGGTCACAAACAGACGTGCGTAATACAGACGCGTATTTAGAGTCGCTCTGTAATTTGGGGGCCACAATTTGATTCATTTATCCGCACACTGTTATTAACCCTGTAGAAAAAGAGATGTCAGCCGCCATTTCAGCCAGCAGGACATCCGCGCTTTGTTTAAATGCACTAATTACACGCATACATTAGCGACAGGGAGGGGGATGGAGTTGAGAAATAGACTCTGTGCAATTTTCAATTTTCTGTCTGTTTGACGCACAGGTGAAAAGATGATAGCAAAAGAGACAGCCCTGCGTCTTGGTACCAGCTCCACGTTATTGTGCTGCATTATTACAATAGAAATAACAACAAACAACAACAGAAAGTCACGCATTTCTGGGCTTGGACGTTTTCAGAAGCAACCTCAAAGGATTTTTTGCAACACAACGTTACATTTTAAGAATAGAGCTTACTGTTTATTTTTGTGTGTTTTTAAATGTATAAATTTAATCAATTATAGTTGTTGTCAATCTTATTAAAAGTCACTGTACATAGGTTATAACCAATATTTATATACTTGTGTGGCTGTTGGCAGTATATGGCTCCATGTCTATATGTCTTTCAAATGGCGCCATCTTCTGGACAATTTCGTTCAGAGAGCTTAAATAGTCTATTATTAGATAAGATAGAAAAAATAAGATGTATTCACCCCACAGTGTAGAAATGTCGGTGTTGCAGTGCACATGGCAGACCAGTGGGAATAGAAGAGCACTCAAAACAAGATGAATAACATAAACACGGTCAACAGCTGTATATAATAGAGAATGGGTCAAACCTGTATGAAATCTTAAGTATAATAAGTAAAGTATATATATGCAATTATATCAGGGGGTTCCATAATATAGGCATCGTATAATCTGTAACTCCCTATAACTGTGCATAAGTGTCAGCGGTCTGCATGTGGGCTTACCTTTTGTGTAAATAAACTGTCATCTTATGGCATCAGATAGATAGCCAATTTTGTGAGTGCCCTAAAGTTTAGGGAAAGCAAATTATACTTAATCGACACACAATATTGGCCTTGATGCTGATTGGTATTGTGGGATCACAGAGCATCGCAGTGCAGGGCATCACAGGACATCACAGCGGGCTTGTGGATATGGCCCTGTGAGACCAAAGACAACTCTTGCAGCCTCTACATCCTCTGACATAATTGCTCTGCTCAAGAGGCCAACGGGAACAGGAGAACGGGAGGAGGAAGGAGCGAGGGTGCACCGGGGAAGGAGGGAGGCTTTTAAGGCGCGCGTAAGCAAAGTTAATTAGCGGTTATTAACAGCCCGCATAATGAGAGCGAGAGGGAGTCAATTTAATGACTTTGTTAGCGCGAGTTCAGAGCGACAGGCGATGATCGAAACAACAAAGGCAGCCGTGCACGCTGCCATCATCCGTAATTTCCAGCGGTAATGCGGTCTGATCAGAAACAAAGGGTTCTAATTTCGCTCAACTGACTCGATAATTTGTCCTTATGTAAGGAAAATAATTAATGACTTAATGCTTCAACAGAAGTAGCTTTCTTTTGGTGATTCGGAGGCTGGAGAAGGTCGTAAGGAAATCAATTCCGAGGCCTGTAATTATTTACATCATGACTTTTAAACGTGGACGTGCGCCCTCGTTCCAAGATTGCGCATACAGTTTCCACAGGAGAGAAGGGAGCGTGTTTCCTTAAAGCAACAGGAGCTTTGGAAAACTTCATATATGACCATTACCATGGATTTATAGTTTAAGTTTTATAAAACCAATCTCTCCTTTTGGATTGGTTCAGAAGCTATCGATATGTGATGTGGTATACCTGCCTTTGTGTCCTTAAAGGCACTTTGTCTGCCGTTGCAATGACACATGTCAGTTGCCTTGACGCATTCAAAGGTACATTTCTTTGGAAACAAAATGAGAATTCTCTGATATTTGCACCAAACGTCATGCTCAAAATGGGTTCCGTGTATTAAACTTGTCCTATTGCTATTGCATTCACTCAATGCAAACGTATCCAAGCTGTGTGCGTCTTTACGCATGATTTCATCATTCCACAGAAAGCTTGAGTCGAAGAGAAACTGTGAGCGCTATTATCGATTGTGGCCCGTGAGCCGCCTGCAGGCCACTCTTAGATTCATAGCAGGTGGATAGGTCACCCACACGAGAGCCGCAATTTCACGGCCCCCTTTGTCTCTACTGATTACTACTTTGATCACAGGAATCAAAAGCCCAGGACTCTCCTAAGATGGCACCGAGGCCCGGAGCTCGTGAGCTGAAGAGGTGATCATCATCATCATCATCATGACCATCATCCTTCGCTGCAGCATCACCATAACATCGTCTCCATTGCGCCCAGCGCAGGTTGACCACACAATCCGAGGACCTGGTGTGTTTTCACAGCTACGGTGCCCTTTTATTGATTGCGTGCTGTAATTTTAATTCGATTGCGCGAGTCTCAAAATTTTGCAAGAATCATCCTAGTAATGAGATAATCAAAGTAATATATGCAAATCAGGGATGTTGCCATCTTATCAAAACCAGAGTGCCCCCCCTTGAGTCTGAAGAAGTCCATTTATTCAGTTAGCGGCAATACCTTGCGCAAATGGCACGATGCAAATGACAGTTGATTAGACTAAATTAAGAACCTTGTTTCTCCCTGACCTTGTCTGAGTTTTATGTAAATGCTTTTTTTTTGCTTTAATGTGGAAAAAAAATAGTTTACACCTTGGCCTTTATAACTGAGCACACTATTTCCAGTGCAAACAATAGTCACCCCCAGATAACTCACTGAGTCGCAGGGTTGGCTTATTTTCAGAGTTTGTCTGAGCTCTCAGTATATTGACCCCAGGCTGCTCCCACAGTGGCACAAGCTGCACTTATGACTTCCTTGCTGTGGGGGAGTGTGCCTGAAGATGGACTGAATAGAACTGTGCTGCTGCTTGTGTCTTTACTCTATTATGTGTACTCATGTGTGTTCATAACATATTGTCTTAGGGACAGATAAAAGTTCCTCTCTGTGGGGTGTGTGGGACCTAGAGATGGCAAGGGACCAAATCCAATATAGATTGCAGGGCTGTGCTGCCTCCCGCTGGGGATCCTCAGACTTGTAGGCCAAGATCGAAATGCTTTCTCTTCCAAATTGGAGTCCAGCGAGGTCTCCCCTAGCACTGGGACTGCCTATGATCCGATGAAGACTAATACAAACGTGGCTTTTGATTTAGTTTATTCAGTCAAGAAAACGATGAACATATACCACCTTTTAATCTATTTTAAAAGATCGCATTTCGGGACCCAATACTCCTCCTTGCCCCCTCTGCGGTCTCTTTTCAACAGGAGGGTGAATGGTATAACTGGCCCCATGCAAGTGTATGGACAGATCCATGCTGCTGCCCTTTGGTTCAGCAACAAGAAGTCCCTCAAGCCCATTACGCTTCCTGTCAGAATCCCAGCGACTGTC